AAAAATCAATTGCATGCAATACACCAATAAACAGAGAAATGATATCATTTGGCAAGACCCTAAAAGTTCACTAGATATCCTTTCATATGTGTAGATAAAAATAGATGTATCAAATTTCACTCAATCAGATAAGAAAAGAGGTACAACATCGTGAAGTGCAGAGAGAAGATAGAAAGAGGAGTAAACCGACTGGAAGAGTTCCATCCAATGCTTGTGAAAGAGGACAGTAATTGAATTTCCTCAAATAAAATATATACTCTCTTACACACACACACACTCCACACACACAGTTCTAAGCAAAATTGTAATATATATATATATATATATATCCACATCTTTTCCGATACACTATATTCATACGTATATATGGCACAATTTTGTATCAAAGTTGACGGGTAATTGGAAAAGTTTAGAAGACTGCTGTAAGAATTTCTCAAACTTATGCTCTTCTTAAACTAACACACAGCAATTTTATAATTATTATGCAAGAAAATTAAAGGGACGTGAAAATCCGAGGATAAATTGAATATTTATGGAGAATTACATAGAAATTTTCCCTAAGCTATGTCTTCAGTGGAAATTTCAGCAATTTCCTTTGTCATGTTGTGGCCCCGAAAAGGCCAAACAGAACACCCATCATCCCTCAACACTATTAAATCTATCCCATTTGGACTTTTATTTACATCCCCGTTAGATGCAAACATGCTAAAGCATGAAAGTCAATCATGAGACTCTTTTTTCTCTCTTCCTGCGCTATGCTTCATATATCAAACCACCCTAATTTAATGGTTGACCCATAAAACTGACATTTAATGATCATCAAAATGAACTCATCTAATATTGAAAGAATCCCCATGTCACACAGTGTCTCTCTCCGTTCGGAAAACCATTTCATACACAGAGACACACATCCATATTCTCGTATTTTATGACCCCCACCCTCACACCCCTTCCTGCCTCATCTAATTGACCAATATTTGCTTCACTGTTTAATTCACATAATGCATGAGTCACAGCGCAGGAGATAAAAAGCACCATTGCTCATAATCTCCTGTCAATCTCTTTTACACTCTTTGACACTGCTTCATTATTTAAACAATCAATTTTTGAACTAAATGCAGCACAAAACAAAGCCCGTGTGTAATAAATTTCTCATCATTTCCACAAGTGATAAAAACACAACACTCAATTTTCTTTTGTTGCAGCAAATTAACTGTCAAAAGACGGTAAATTTCAAACTTTTGCCATAATCATCAATTGCGAAGCAATTAAATTTGAAATTACACCAGAATCAACAAGTTTACGTGTCAGCAACACCATGGAGGGAATAATGCTCTGGGCGTAAAAGAAATTGCAGAGATGATTTGATAAGGGATATATATTTGAGTGTTGGAACTTTTTCGACCCCCACATCTTAAATTATTCATTAAACCTCACATTTAAATGGCAATTTCAGCTAGCATAATTAATGCAACAATCAACAAGTTTCATACTTTGCAATATACATTATACGACTATAGTGTAATTTCGACCCTCTCGGGTCTGGCCCACAACACACTGTATTTCTTTCTATATGGCAAATTTTCCACTCAACGTATATTTCATTCATTTATTTATTTTTTAGCACAGCTCTGAGATAAGTGCACTGAATTAAACTTCACTAACTCTTTGCATCTCTCGTTGAAATGAACTCAACCGAAAATTGCAATTGAGACCTATCCGTTCATCTCATTCACCATGGCGGCTTATTAAAAGTTTCAGCAAAATGAAAATTATGAATGAGAAATTTCACTCTCATCAAATACTGAGCTCCGAACTCTCTGCCATCATTGCGAGCTTTTCACCATTGGATTGTCAAAATTGACCTAAGACCTCCACCCCCGGGGCCTTTTCATACATAAACTATGAAATAAAAGTCCCACAAGCATCGCTCAATTCCCCTCCGGATTGACGACTATCCCAGAGACTATGTGTGTTGCCCAGACCATTCCTGTTTGGCATCATGTCGTGGTGATATGACAAAGTTTCAATTGATACAACGACAACGTTCAAGTAGACTTTATCGCTGTAAGCAAATATTTGCCAGACATTATTGAGTGCAATGTGTGTACTTCAAAGCTACATACACACGTATTATATCCATCATTTTACATTATTTATCAAGTACACTGTCACCCCAAAATCCCCTTTCCGCATTACATTCTAGACACACACTTTACAAAAAATGATACAAAGTCAAATCCTAACAATTTTCACCACACTTCCTCATCCACGGTAAATCTCTTAAAAACACTCTTGACAAGATAAGCTTGCATTTTTTCTTTGCCACTCTGACTCACACTTTGGCCGTCTTTCGCTCCACTCAAATCAATTGATTTTCTCTGTCAATTTCACTGTGAATTAGACATCCTTTCTCTCTTCCATTTTCCCAAATTACCAATTCTCTTCCCTCTCTTGAATTGTGCAAAAAAAGGCAGTAGAAGCATTAATCCAAATTACAAAAAAGAAACGAACTCTCAATACTATGCTAATGCATTGAAATGTTTCTCTGTATTATTGCAAAAATCACATAAAATTCTACACCAAAACAAACACATACATTCGCACACTCTCATTAATTGGACCAAATCAATTTCACAGATAATCAATCTCTCTTTACAATCTATTGAGGGAAAAGGGTAATTGAAAGTTTCATTTTGCACAACACTATCGTTCACTGATTAGGAAAATTCATTTGGATTTACCGCTTTGCGTTATGATTTATGAATATTTGATTGGATTTTACTCCACCGGCGTCATATCGCATTATTACATGAGGTAGAAAAACGGAAGGAGAGAATAAAAGTGATGTGAAAAAATTAAACATTAATCAATAGACTCTCATTGAAATTACTTTAGACAGAGAAATTCAGGGGGTGAAAATTTATACAGAATGAATTAATTATAAAGCTCTAAATGTGTCGCGTGTTTTCAGAGACAAGAGATATAAACTTTGACAGTTAATTTCATGTTCTTTGTTAGGAAAACCATGATCTACTGGAATGTTACATTATTATCACTATGAATTATAAATAGACTTTATGTGTGACACACAATTGATTTTTAACTAAATCTTCTTTGTTAAAATTATAACCAAATACGACTATTGGGTTATTTTTTAAATAGGTACTATTACGTAAAAAAAAGAGAATTTCTACTCTTGTCCATATGCTGAATAAAACTGAATAAAAGCTCATTTATTTCAATCCTTTCACCATAATTCCCCATAATTTCTGTGATAGATCAGCTTATAGCCAAAAAAGTGTATTGAACATCATACATAAATAGGACACGTGAAAATCCGTATAAAGAAAATCTTGTTAAACATTAAAACAAAATTATACTGATTATTTATTGCATGATAATTGAATTTGACATCAAATTGCAATTTATATTAAATGTTAATTTATTATTTTTGACCAGTACATGTCGAGAGCGTGACCACCCAATGAGCGCCAGAATATGACACTAATTTAATTATAACTCTATCAATATATTCACGCATATTACCAAAGCTAAAAGGGATAATATCGCGTTTTTTATAATGAACCAAGATTACTTCATTATCCTCAGCATGTGAGAGATAGCCGAAAAAAGTGAACCATAAATCCCATCAATTTGATTAATTGCAAATCAATACGCTCTGCGTGGTGCACGATGGTGCGTAATAAAAATGTTAGTGCTCTCTGATAGCTCACATTTTCAAACACATACACTATAATAATCTTTTAGCGGGTGGAAATATAATCTCATTCTCTGTCTGCCTTCCTCTTGACACGCTGAGAAATTCCACGCCAAACTTTTGCAACAATTTAATAACGTAAAGGAATGTTTCAACTATTTCCAGCCAACTTTTCTCATTCTTTCATCAACCCCAAAACTCCCAACCTTCCCCGTCAGACACACTTTGCACTCCCCAATTTGCAATTAGCAAAACTTGCCATTTTTTGCACACACTCGGCGTCCATTCAAGCATAGAGCGGAGCTTCTTTCTCAGACAAAATGTGACATTTTAGCAAAGGGTGGATAGATAAAATCAAAAGTTCACCAAATCGCATTATGCTGCAACCACTGCAACCATAATCAAATATTAAAGTTTAACACTGGTCAAATAACTCATTTATGATACATATAACATTATTTTATCAATTTGTATCATGAACGAACAACGAGCATCCCTCTTTCTTTCTTTGTGAACATCTCAATTATAAACTCTCCACTTTGCTATACACACGGAGCGTCAAAACCAATTTTCAATGGCAAGTTTCTGCTCCTATTCAATTAATCATACTGTGTATTTATTGCTCTTGGCAGAAATGGGAAAAACCCTCCGAGGAAAGACGATTAAAATCTTCTGCTTTTTAAATAATAACACACAAGAATATTCATTTATATTCTTTTTCATCATCATCCTATCTCCCCCGTTCTTGGAACTCTCTCTCTCTCTCTTCCTGCAATCTCTCCTTCGCTCCACATTATTCTTTGACTGCCTCTTCTTGCTCTTAACACATTTCGCAACACCCCCAGCAGAAATCCCTCACATTGTCCTCTCCACCTTCTCTTGTCCACAAGCGATGAGATGCCAAGAGCTTTTGTCTCTACGACTTTCATGACAATCTCAGTTGAAATTTCTACACAAAAGCTTATATACATTCTCAGAATCCGAATTTATAAATTGTTTAGGAAGGGAGACACAGAGAAAATTTACGAGGAAATCCTCATTCCTATCGCCTTAGCGTTTTCATATAACTAAAATAAAGAAATATTCCATCCCTTTATTATTCCGCACCAAATCTAATTCCAAACGTCACAAGCGTTGTGAAACAGAGGGAGAGTCTCATACGCTAAATACACGAATAAATAGTCGATGTGATTGGCAATTAATTTGTACTCCATCGAGATACCAAATCGAATGACGGGGATCATTGAATTAAAAGCGATACAGGACAAATTTCACTTACCTGTACATCAAAATTATGCTGCTGCTGCAGCAGATTGGCCGACGTGTCCAATTGATTGGGCCCTTGTTGCTGGTTCACCATCTGGTTCTGCTGGAAATTCTGCAATTGATAGAGAGGAAAAAGTTCAACATCACCATTCATTCAAGTGGCGTCATATCAAATTCGCCCACAAACTCTGTGTGCTTGTTTATATTTTGTGTCTCGACAAATAGAAATGCAAAATAGGCGAGAGCTTTTGCCAACCTGTGCAACTTGATGCATTCCACTGACGCCATTCATAACTGGCCCTTGCATTTGATTCATCGCTGCCAATTGGGCCGCATGATGGTACGAATTGAGTTGGCCAACACCCTGTGGATCACTCGCGCCGAGCATATGCTGCAGAGGCAACTGTGGATACGCCGAGCCCACTTGACCGGTCGGATCCAAGAGACCACTCGGGCGCGTCAGAGCCTCCTCGGCCGGAGATGGCTGTCGCGATCCGGGAGTTCGACTATGGGAAAAGTGGAAAAACACGCTATTAAATCCGAAATTCAAGAAGTAATCGTCTTATGCTGCATCTCCTCAATTTAAATATAACATTTCACTTCCGCTTAGCCGAGACACACGACTCTCTTATTTTAAGAGGTCGCCAAAAAATATTCTTACACATTTTTGCGGTGTTTTAAAAGACTTTCACAGCATTCATTAAATGTATGTTCCTATTTAAATTGAAATATACGATTCCCGATAGGAAATTAAAAATTACAATTACCATGCGCCCAAATTTTGGAAAGCTTATTATTATCATTATCATATTATCGTACAAAAAGAGTATGTTTTAATAGGGAAATTACATATATTGGCTATAATTGATTCAATATAGGAAAAAAAAGAATATCATGACTCCAGCTTGTCATCTCCAACGCACTGATAAATGCATGAGTATACGAGTATAAGTATTACGAAATTGATTTACAAAATCAAATTCTTTCATTATTATGGCAAATATAAGACACTTTGTTCTTCTCATAAATATTTACCAATGAAGAGAACTTACTGAATTTCTAGACAATGTGCTTAATTTGGAATATTGAAAAGAAATTTCAATTTTCACAGTGAAATTGAAAGTGTGTACAATAGTAATTTTGCAAGCAAACACATTCTTTCTCTAAATCTTCATCATTGCATGTCATTTTCTCATCTCTCTCCCTTCCTCTCTATGTTTTTGCCTTAAAACTAACTTACTCTTCCAGTCAAGATTTTATCCAACAGACAACGTTCGTAAATACAACACAAAAAGCGCGATTATGGAAAGAAAAAAATATGACATTGTATAACATATATGTATGTGGAAGCTAGTGGAAATATGTGTATATATAACACAACATAGAATCGAGAGGAGAAAATAAACCTACACGATGTATATCACCCAAGAGTGCTGGAGAGGCGCAAATACATGAAAAAAATTATATCCAAGTTTCAACATTTTCTCTACAGTCAATGACATTGACTTCATACATAATAGAGAGAGAGAAAGAGCGCGCGAGAGATAGAGAGACTCTTATTTTCTCCATGTCCGTAATTAATAATCTTAACATATATTAAATCTGCACGTCACGGAAAAGTATTCCAAGCCCGGGAATCAAGCGAAGAGAACAAATAAGCGCAAGAGACACATAAAAAAAGTGAGACAAGAATGATCTCAAAAACTCCTCCTCGCGAACTCTTGGGAGAATGTCAAACAATGCCGCCATCATCAGTGTATGGCGAAGCAATATAGAGTGCCTTATGAGTGCGAATTATATGTTAATTATTTTGTCGACATCGCACAAACTAATTCATAATTAGCACCAAACAATTACATCAAGTACAACCTCATCTCTCTCTCACTCTCTCTCTCTCTCTTTCACTCAATTGTATTTGATATGTATTGTGTCACATTATGTCATGTTTCATGCTCGCAAGTGCCTGTCCGTGCGCTGTCGCGTCTAGGCATGGGAACAAATTATAGGTACCCCGAAACTTTCATGAAGGGTCCAACAAATTCAGATGGTGGTGAAAGTCATTTACACCAAGTGCCGCATAATAAATGACTTCATCCACCTGAGCTTTCTGACTCTCTCTCTCTCTCTCGCTCTCTATGATTTTCCACCTAAACGCACACGGCGCACAGTAAAAGTGTAGATAGCAATGATGATAATTTGACTTAACACTCTTTGTGATCGATCTTTATACTGTGAATACGGATGTTCAGCCCCCAAAATTCCTCTCATGATCTGCATATTTAGCATGGAAAACCCACCCAAAACCCCTTTCGCAAGAAATCCAATCGCAAAAGGGATAAAATATTACCATTCCATTGAGCTTATTGTGGAAGACTTCCTGTCAATACACATCAACAGAGCCACCAACATACAATCCCGGGTATGAAAAGAAAATCATTCAAATATCATACTCTTTGTATTTTTGCCAACCTCTACTTTTCTTCCCTTCATATTGCTCAAAAATTGAGATCAAGTAAAGTATAAATCCCTACAAAGTTAAATACTTTGTGTACCACATCTCAAAAAAGGAGACGGAACAATAAAAAATTATGTATGCTCCCGACAAGTCAGATGAAATGCTTTTTTTTCCTAGAATATTTCAATCAATTTTCCCGCAAAACATGAGTGATTGTTATTTTTCCCCCCTACCTAAACAGCAGACTCTTGCGCACATTCAGTTTTATCTTTTTGCAAAAGACGAGGATGGACAACAAAGAAAACCACACAAGAATTATGTATGCTTGCAATTCTGCACGACATTGACATTACTGTATGTGTGCAAATGTTCACACAATAACTGGTTTCTTTCACATCAAGGTTTTCCGTTCGCCACTCTCTCATGCATTTTATCAAAACTACATACATCTCATATGTATGTGCAATTGTGTATGGAGCTCTTGGAGCACCACTTGACTCTCAAATTGCAATGGAGGCGCCTGGTGTCATTATACAAGACGTTTATGGGAAATGGAGACGCCTGGTTGTTACATCAAGTGAGGGAAATTTTCTATAAACCCATCAACTTACTTAAATCCTTTGTCATCATCTATACCATTCACGACAACTCCATTTGAAGAGTTCACTTGATCCTCCTTCTTGATGCCATTCGCGTCAAACGGCGAATTTGTCTTCTCCTTATCGTCTGTCGACTGCAAAAACAGATCACAAATTGTGTATATTTTGTATTCACAAGCTTCTCTTTATACATATTTCACTTTTCTTTCAAATCAATGTGCATTTTTATTACTGACTGGCTCATAAAATACCACTCGTCATTGAATTCCGTTGCAATTGTGATTAAAAACATATTCAACCCATTCATATTAGCATAACTTTAGTTGCTTCTCTTCGAAAAATTGAACAAATTCATATGGAAATAGAATAACCCTATTTCCTCTCGTTCAAATCAACTCTTCACAACTTCCTATTGATTTTTACTTCCTCCACAAAATACACATTGCAAAATTGCCCACACTTGAGAACATGTCGTGCATTCTTCAAGTCATCCTCAAGTGAATGCCACACATTTTCCCACAGAATAAACTAATAAATAAGGGCATGTTCGTGCATTGTAACCAATTACAGAATTTCCCTAGAGAAACTATAGTAATACCATCATTGATCCACTTTTATTGCGTGGAATTACCCTGTAGCATTTCCTTCCTTCCTTTCGCGCCTTCTGACGGTTTTTTCTCGACCTCCCACGCCAGGCGTTTTCCTCTTGTGCACTCTCAAATATTTTCCATTCAGAAATTCTACACACATTTCATTTCCCTCAAAAGTGAAACATTATTATGGGAACACTCTGGTAAATCATACCTTGTCAGAATCATCAAATTTTAAACTCCTCAAACGTGGTTCCAAGCTCGCAAGAGGACTCTCCTTGTTGGTGGGCGAACCACCAAGCACATATTCTACCATTTTTACACCTAAGCCACCAGTTGAATCGCGCGGACTGTGGAGAGAGACACGAGTAAAAGTTATTATTATTATTCATTCGCCTCTCTTTTTCACCTTCAACTCTCCTTCCTTCTCCAACCATCAGTATAAGTGTCAAAGACGAGAAATAGGTTGAGTTTTCAATCTTATGGACAACACTATGATGGCAAATGCCAAGCTGATGATCCACTTTCTAAGACTCTCTCAACAGTTTCTCGCCTTATATTTCTCAACACTCACAACCCACCTGAGAATGCCAGTACTTCCAGTGGAGTTGGTCTCCGGTGCCTGCTGAAATGTCCTTCGCGGTGTCAATATTTCACCCTGGGTAGACCATGTGGAGTCGCGCCACACCTGATGCTCAGGCCCACCGTGGAGCTGCAGCGGCGCCAACGGCCCACTCGTTGCACTTGGAATTTTCATATCGCCAGGACCTCCTTTCTCCCACAACTTCTTTGCGGCAGATGTGGTGATCTGCAAGGTGGAGGAAAAACACAACACGCTTTATAATTAAATGCTTAATGAATTTCCACACTCGCTCGTCTCCCACTGCAATTTGCATACTCGCAAACATCCAAAATGGCCCCATTCTCGCTCGCGCATCCCCCAATAATTCAGCCACAGCAGAATCATCGCACGGGCATATTTGGAACAGCAGCAAATAGAAAGATCAATGTGTGGCCAGCAGTGTTGAGAGGAGCAAAAACAAATCACGCTTATCTAATAGTTGTGCACTTTAGGCGAAAATTCGCTCCGTATGTGCACACATAAAGAAGATCAGCTCTTGATACAACATCAGGAGAGTTTTGTCTTTATCGCATCGATACAGGGACAAAACCAGGAGAGAGAAATAGATTTTCACGATAGTTTGCGTGTGTGTCATTAACATTCCATAAGGTTCATTGCACACAGAATGCTACAGCACACATATAGTAGATATTCTATGCCTTTTATCTCAACTCCATCACCGTAGAACCGGAGCCGGTCACAAAAACTATGACTCTCTCCTCTCTTCTCATACTCTCCAAGAAAATACAATTGCAATCCCTATAGATACATATATATTTCACATTGTTGCCTACTTTATACACACAATTATGTGAAATATACACAAGATTTTTGCCTATCTCTCTCTTTCTCTCCGCGTGCAAATGGCATTCCAGTACAGCACAAACAAAACACGGCAATATCGTTCTTCTAATAATGCTGATGATACCTTGTTTCATATGTATATTGCCACTTTATATTGCACATGGCAAAAAATGTATTGTATGTAAAAGAAAGAGAGAATGAGAAAAACAATATAAAAAATTATAGCTACTGCAGAAAAAAATGTAAACGAGATAGAGAATAAAATGCATCACAAAACTCCACCAAGCGTGGTATATGCATATTTATTTATTCATTTTATTATCCAATCTCGTCTGCATTTCTCTCAAATCTAGAATTCTAGTAGAATCTCATAAATTTATGTAGAAAATTGCTTCCATTTTTTATGAATTCAAGACAAATATGGAATAGTTTTGAGAAATGAAATGTAAATTTTCAGTAATTCACTCTATTTTTTGTTTCAAAACACCCCATAATTTAAAAAGCAAGTATTAAATCATTATCCAGGAGATATTTACTGGACTATGAGCTTCTAAAAACATCAATTGTCAATCAAAATAACACATTTGACGTGATTTCATCTCAAGCCCACCACTATTGTAAAAAACAAAATCAATGTTCCATGATATGTCAAAAGCTCTCATTCTTGAGACTGTTTCTGTGAAAGCTCCGCAATAAAATGAAATGGCGAAAAACTGTGGAAAGCACAAATCAAGAAACTCATCCACCATCGAGCCAGTTGGCGTTGTTCTCCCCTTTTATGTAAAAAGATCAATCTTCAGTCTAAAAGACTCACTTCTAAATACCCCAACCAAAACACAAAAATCAATCATAATCATTGAACCAGAATTGATGCCAGAAATCATAAGTTTCATGCACGAGGAAATAAGCAAAGAAGCCTCCACTCTCTCTGTCTTTCTTGACTCAGACTGGGTGAAAACACTTTTCTCTCTCTCTCTCTCTCTCTCTCTCTCTCTCTCTCACAAACAATCTCTACTGAGGTTGAGAGACTCAAACACCGGATGACACATTGGAAAATTATACAATTGAACATGTTCTAGCGGTGGGCATTGAATCCACCAAAGGTATGGCACAGAGAGAAGCGGAACATGGCTACCCGGCTTCTGGGAATAACGTGGCCCGGTTATTTTGCATTAAATGCGTCTGTGCTTGCTTTCCGGCGTTTGCGCACCAACAGACTGGATATAACAATAAATAACAAACAAATGGTTGATATTCTGTGTGTTCCGTGGATCTATCAATTGGATGACTTCCTTGACAAATCGACATGATAACAAGTCCAGCATTTCCCACCCATTCAACAGACCGCCCTGTGGCTCCCATCATACTCGACCAAATCAACCGCACAGACACCGCATAAAATCAAAAGCTGCTCAGCCACACAGTCCCCAATTGAGGGGAGACCGCACAGTCATATAGTCGGAGTCAGAAACTTTTCATTACAGCTAATGGCAAAGCAAGCCACCCAAATTAAATGATATCACTTGTGTGACTTTTCGTGTATTTACCATCATGTCCGCTGAATATGTAATAGTTTTGTTCCTCATCACCACCGGAACTATTTATTTAACGAATATTAATGATGATAGCAGATTACTCTCGTCAAAATCGGATGCTCGTATATTTTCATCACCTCTCGTTTCTCTCTCTCTCTGTCTCTCTTTCTCTCATACCATCCCCCATCATCGAGACCGTCTCTCCATTTGCTCTCCCCCATACTAAAAATTCTGTGCGCATGAATATTCTGACAGCATCAAAACATACACATTTCTCATGGAATTATGCTCATTTGCAAAACATTCTGACACAGATTTATATGTCATCTCTAATCATTTTATATTCTCTCTCAATAAATCTACATTTCATGCATCATCTACCCCACAGACAGAGTGAGAGAGCACGTAATATTGCCACAACCATCGAGCTCATTTAGGCACAATATTTGTTAGTCGTTCTCTCACAAATTGTACGAGACACAGTGATAATAATTCCATTTCCGATACTTTTTCTCCTCCATTTCCGGCAATTGAAGAATGTGGGAAATGGCACTAAACATATCACTCATGGTGCACAAATATGAAATCTAAACGAATTAATCTCATTAGACCCCCAAACATGGCCAACCATATGCACAAACACACACCGCAATTTTCCAAACTCCACACAACACCCCAACCAAATGTTACTGAACTTTCCACTTCATTCGCAAATCCATCTAACCAATTCCCTCTCAATCTCACCTCACTGTTGACTCGTAGTAAGAATCCAATTAGGGAATACACAAAAAAAGAACATTTTTGCACTATTCTCACCTCTTTGAGCATTCATTTTCGCAGATTGTGCGAAGAGACCAGGAAAAAAACTCAATGTGGAGATAAATGGAAGTCAAATAGTCTTGAAATACTCCTCTGTCTCTCTCTCTTTCTCTGGGAATCTAGCAATTTATATTATTTGAAAATGAATATTTGATAGAAACAGCCTGTCTGTTTTGGGTCATCGATTCTAGCCAAGGCCATTTAACAAGTATCACCTACTGTGCCGCCCAACGTCTCGTCATGGCAAGTCTCACAGAGAGCAAATAAGAAGAGCTCAATTGATTGATTACATCGCAGTGAAAGAACAAGTAAAAGGAATTTTTCTAAATCATATTATTTTTTTCTATCATTCCTATAATTAACACAACAGACACTCTAATTTCTCATAAATCGACCACAATGATTTGTTCAGGACTTTTTGAAAAATACATCCATCACTCTTCAAGAAGTGAATGAATCTTTCACAAGATTTTAATGGTGGCTATTAATTGAACACTGTAAGCATTGGTCAAGAGTTAAATCGTCTTAATTATTTTAAATACAAATATCCATCATTGTGGCGTCAAGAAAATAGGGGTTCGTGGTCTAATATGTTGAAGAATTTGTTTGCACCCCCACAATAAGTATTGATTAGTTAATGTTAATGCCCTGTTCGTGCGTTCTTCTTTTCTAATTGTGAACCTTTCCACCCATATCAACAGGTACAGAAATACCCACAAATGTGAGTGACAGCAAAAAATGCCAGAAACACTGTAACGATGCTACGTGTAACAGTTTAAAATGATTATTTCTCAGAAATAACTTCGCCTAATAAAGAGGTTAAGCGAGTCCTTTTGCCTCATCACAGCAACATCTCTCGTTGAACTTCAAAAGACGAGATTTCTCAGCAAATTGCTACTATGCCACAGTCATTCTTTGAACATTTCAGTCATTCGCAATCATATATCGCACACAGAAGAAACATGTATAGTAAGTGTGTTGAGGATATTCGTTTTCCAAATATCAAATTACTCATGCTCACTTTAGATTAACTCTGGCACAATACATTTGCGACTGAAAATGTCATAGAGAATCAAGCTCAGCAATAGACAATAACCTAACCAACCCTCCTGAACATGAAATATAATTATGCATACGTGTAATTAATCAATTTTCTGAATTACAAAACAGTTTCTCTCTATACTCTCCATGGCAGTACGGCACGATCATACTGAATATTGAAGATATGTACATATCTACTATGTAATGCCGCCTGAAATAAGGCGTCAACTTAATTGCAAGTATAATAAATAAATAGCACTAAATCCACACAATATAATGTTCCGCATTGTTCAAACTTTAGTTAAATTTGCGAAATTTGCAATGAAAATTTCCATCTACAAAATTTAATAATGAAAATTCAGCATACAATTAAATTTATGTAATTTCACAAAGGCAATCTTTAAGTGCTTTTCCTCACTCACTCTCCCTTTTTTTCTCTCCGTTCCTGTTTTCTTTAATTCTGCCAGAACCAACATTCAAGCAATTAATAGACAAAACCCAGCGGAAGAGATATGCCCGAATAATAGCTTTCACACAATTATTTACATATTAAAAAAAAAAATACATTTCCCAACTCGCAAAAACGCAGAAACACCCTCTGAGATACAAAAATTCACACACCGTACTTCGGGTATCACATTTTTGGTGCTTGCCGTGTTGAAAAAAATATATATTGAATTGTCATTGCCATTATTTCAGCGAGAGATGATGGCCCCATATGTAAATGGTGAGAAAATTCGCTCAGCATAGCAATTTTAATGAAATATGTAGAGCCAATATCTATATATATATATATATAGTCTGTGTCTATACATATTTATGATATTTTCCCATCACATACACCTTGTACATGCCACCCGGCCATTTAGCACAAAGCGCACACACTCATGTGTATGGAGAGTGTCCTGAAAATAGACGCGAAATCGCATATCCAGCAGTTGCTACGATACCAGAAAAGACCAAAAGCCGCATGTCTCTCTCTCATGGTCGACTCTCCGTACTCAGAGTCCCATGCCAACATCTCACTTCTCAGCTACGCAGCAATTCCGGAGCCATATCGAAAGCGCGATTGCAAGTGTAGGTGTTTATTTTAGTAACGTTACCAGTGGCAACCCAATCCAATTTAATATTGTATCGCATTACCCTTCCAATCAGTCGATAAGATTCGCCCTTTATTAATCGAGAATGCACTACTTTTACATCCCATTCAATTTTACCTCACACTTTATCTTCTGCAACTCCGCACAGATAAAAGAGAAATGCATGCAGAGTTTCATTTCAAAGGAATCCCTAATTGAAAACATCTCTCAAGTAGAAAGTGATATCACCTATATTTGTCTTGTATTGTATAAAAACAAGGATCGAAAGGCAAGTCTCGATTTGTTGTATGCAATAGATCAATTGAAGTAAAAAGAAAAACCACTCTTACTCAACCTGAATTAATGTTACGACCTTTCGTCAGAGTTGTCTCAATTGAAAATTACTTCTAACAACTTGCGCATATTCAAACTTTGAAGTCTAAGAACTTAAGGACTTTAAACTTGGCAAGATAATTAAACATTCATAAGATATATGTGTGGTGAACATCAGACTTCTAGCTGTGCATGAAAATTCGCGACACATCGATATGTCCCAGTGCCCCAAACGACCGCATATAATTTCGAGTCACACCAGAAAACCGCACCAATTGACGAAATTTTCCCACAACAAACTATATTTACATGCATAAAAATGACACAAATCAAAAATTACAATGTGAAAATTGTGGTGTGAAAAATATAACAATTTACTGGGTGATTCTGTCAATAATAATTAATATACAATATGCAATGTATATCATAGATTGCACTTGGCAAAACATAGACTTAATCACAGCACTACAACATTAATCAACATGCTCATATTTCACGCTATAATTATTGATTCAATTACACGATTAAATATTTATAGCTATTATTAAAACCAATTTCACATTATTCAACTACCTCTGTTTGTCTGAACACGGAGCACATTTCATTTCTCTTATTTTGACGCCCATTGTTGTGAATCATTGGGCACATAGGCGAGACGCGCAATTTTCATGCAGAAAACAACCAAATATATGAAGGAGTGGGAGACAAAATGAACGATTTTGGGAAGATAGGAAGAGCTTCTTCTCTTGTTGATTTTGTCTCGAGAAAGAAGTTGATATTGAGAAGTTTTTTGAGGATGTTCATAATATATAAACTCTTTCTGCAAAACTTGTTTGTGCGTCACGTACAAAAGAGAACAAGCAGCGCTCTCACTCTCATTTCATATGAAAAGAGAGAACAGAAATAGCCAACATTACTGTTTTTTTTATCAAGTGTCCTGCAAATACAGAGGGCAGAAATTTGCTCCATCCACATTTAATCTAAATGCAGAACAATTGCAATGGGCATCGCAAGTTGAAATGGAGCTGCAGTGCAACAAAAAAAAAGGCCAGGACTATCCCACTTGACGACAAATTCAAACATGCAACATTATTCACACACAAAGTGCAAGCCCAGCGAATATTGTGCATTTAATTTTGCCATCTTTGTCACAAGACACCATCAAGCATAGCCAGGCGCAGAGTGGCTCAGATTTCGGTGTGGTGAAGAGGGAAAAAAGTTCGTGCGGGAAGGAGGAAATAACGATAAAACGTCGATTTAGAGAAGGCAGCGAAGAGGCACAAGAACTCTTGAGGTAAATCAGTATATTATGTGTTTGTTTGTATACATTTCACTGTGAAATGTGTGAGTCTCAGTAATTCATGAACTTAACACACTAAAACCACCTCTATATAAATGCACGACTATTTCACTGTGGTGTTGGCTTTGAACAAGGTTTTTGGCTTTTGCGATTGAGTCAAGGTCGGCCAAGAGAAAATACATTCTCAAAGAATGGCTTTTATACCCCATCTTTTCCCATAATACCAATGGATATATCGAAAGGAATGCTCCAACAGAACTATATAATAATCACATAGAAGGAGAGCTCAATTAAGCATTTTCATGCCATTTCGCAAGTGCGTAATCTCCCTCTACGGCACACACAATAAGCACACACGCATTTACGCATAATACAATTTTAATTCATCACCCTAATCCTCGCACCAATTAAGCCTATGCCCTCTCAACTCTTCAGGCCACATACACACCATTGTTACATCATCCCCGAGACGGATATTAGGAGTGAGCTATTGTCATTCCGCATCATCATGATAAATATAAGGAAGAGAATTCGAAAAGGAGAAAAAGGAAGTACAAAATGAAAAATCAATAACAACCTTCCAGACATTAACACAAACGCAGCTCACAAATTGTACATTCTCCACATTCAATATATCGGTTTCGGCGTTTTCGTTACTTTTGGATATTATATACATACATACATAAGCATATATAGTGCAACATACTTGAAGTTGTACAGCAGAACAAAGCCCAATTCCCAAACAAGACTAATCATCATGCTTTGCTCTGTGAAATACCGAATAATAACCTAAAGCTAAGTACTAAAACATTGAGATACGTTTTATAGGGGAAAAACATGCAATATAGCCATACTGCTATCCAATATCTCACCATTAAAATCCTAAATTCGCTTTTTTTTCTGTTCTACAGTAAACCTTCTTAGCTATGCATGTTTTCTGTGTTCTCATTTCCCCTCGATAAAGCATGAAAAGAACAAATTCGGATCATCCCATCTTTCTATATAAGTAGAACAAGTATCATTCGTAGTCTTATTACTATAAATCGACTCTTGACAAATGCTTCCTCTATAATAGATCAAATCGAATTGATATTTTTTTTCTGGTATTGAAGAAATCATATCAATTCCCTTCCATGTTATGCAATCCTTTACATACAACCCTCAATTAGAATACATTTCCCATCTTCATGGCAATGTAACGAGAAATGCACGATTGGTATATTTAGAAATCGAATCACTCCATCAATCCTTAGTCTTTGCCTTCATTCCACATTCTTCACCGCTTTTGACCTTTTCGCCCCAACCAAACTACTCACGGTTCTCAACATTGTTATAATTATCAACCGAAATACGATTTTTCTCTGATAGAATATACAATTCTACCGTAAAAATACAAATATATCACCTGAGATCAATCACACCCTTTTTTCAGTCGTCTAATTGCACTCAAGAGAGATAAAAGCTCCGTCTTCCCACACAAAAACCATCTTCCCGAAGACAGTGTTATTATTGATTAAGTTATATGCAACAGGTAACATAACAGTAACAACATGAAAATATCCCTTTACCCCATACACACCTCCGCGTCCGAAACCTCATCGCCTATGCGCATCACATCATAAATATTTATGTACATTTCCTTATGAAATACGAAAAAAAAAAAGATTTATGAATAATCACCCATTTTCTCTTCGCATTCACACTGTTTCTGCCTCATTATGCTAAAGTCTCATCACGCCATCAGCACAGACCCCAATGAAAATACCCCCTATTTTAGCGGTGCACAATTTCCCAAGATGTACATATACAGGTCTCTTATGTGCTTATGAAAATATAAATTATTAGTTTGCTGTGAACTATCAAAAGAACGTGTAGCACTTGATGTGCAAAATCATCAAGGATGAAATATTAATAGCATAAATTTAATAACACCATCGTGGCATCACACATTTCATAAATATGAGAATTTTCGTGTATTCACGAGCGCACAGGAGAGCTAAAAAAGGAAGAGGGAAGTAAAAACTGAGAAAAAATTACCATTTCTGGCGTCACTATATCATCACCAACATCCGGTGTAGCAAATACAAACTCCTGAAGGAGTTTCATCCCCAGTGACCGCAACAAATTGCTGCCTTCTCTGTCTTCCGTAATCCAAAAGTGCAAATTACTGTATCTTTGCTCCTCAGTGACCACTTTAATGCGCTTTATGTAGTTGGCAATTGCACTTGAAACAACTTATTTAGCACTCTCACTTGCTCTTCACGCCGGTCGTTCTAGATCGAGTTTCTTCACACACAATATCAAAATGTATATGTATATATATTCTCTTTCTCTCTCATCAACCAAAGCAGGACCAGTAATTCCTCTTCACTGCGCCTTGTGGACTCACCAAAGTGTCAAAAGTGACTTAATTGTTGAAAATTACCAGCTGAAGAATGAACTGTCTATTGCTGAGGATCACCGCACACACACTCTGATTGAAGTTCTTCTCCTCACCCACTTTCCTTCCCCCCGCCAAAATCTCTAATGGGAGGGTGCGTTTCACACTCTCATGAATGCCGATGATGCAGATGAATTTCAAGGCTCGCCAGAGTTTAGACACCATACACAACTATCCGAAAGAACTGAAGACAATAAATTCGTTGCGATGGTAACCACGCATTTATCACACAATGATAATATGCTCGCGCTCTCTCAATTTCTTTCCCGTACTATTTTTTTTCTTGTTTATCCATCCACCATACTTGGAACTTCACTGCGATTCACACACTGAAGTTTAACACCCAACAATTGGAATTTATTTATCTTTAACAAGCCCTCCGTGGCTGGTGTTCTTCTTGGATCTTCCTCTCTTTCCGTCCAACTCTTTCTCTTCACTCTGGATATATTTTTCAACTTCACAATCAGGATTTCATGGCATCTGCCAACAAACTAATTTCTGCCTCAACGGGAAATCTTACCCGGACTCTCCTATCCTTTGAACTTTTTAGTATATCAACTCTCTCTCTCTCTCTCTCTCTCCCTCGCTCTCGCTTTTTCTCTATCTCTCTCCCCTATACAGTCTCTCCTCCAGTTTCTACCGTGAATAATTTTCAGCTGGAAACAGATCAACACACTCAGAGTCCAACAGAACGCAACCACAAAATGATCGTCGTGAAACAAAAGGTTGGAGAACAAAGTGGTGTATGTAATGTCGAGAATACTTGTCTAGAAACTGTTAGATTTTCACTCCTATTAAACTTTTGTACAAAAGAAGTACATTATACACTCTCTACGAGTATTGCAAAATATCTCTCTTTCTCTATATCGTAGGTTATAAAATCCCAGCTACTCTGCACTCCACAGAAGTATCATACAGTTTGAAAATTACCAACTGGACCCACCACTTCACACACAAGAGTCCACAATTTAGCTTACAACTCGAGGGACGAAGCTTTTACAAAACTTTCCTCCACATCATATTTATTCCGAAATTCATCTCTTCACCCTCACACCCCATTCTCAAACCCCAGAGTATGTGTATCTCCGGCGTGATGAGGGTGTAAAAACTTTCTCAAACACTGTCACACAATTGATTTCCCACCCAATAACACACGACAAAATGTATTGATGCATTTTTCTGTCTCCCAAACCTCAAGATATCTCTCCCCTTTCCTGCCCTCCAGTCACACACAACAACTTCTTCCCTCCGCCAATGGCCTGACAAATTCGATTCCAATAGACTTCAACTGTGTTTATATCACTCCAAATTAGCTATTGTCGCCGGACAGCAGAATTATTGTCCTCTGTTTTATTTGTTTTTCCGTTCTATGTCCAAAAATCGAGAGATAAAGACAGAAGGAGAGAGAGAGACAGAGCTTTTTGCTACTAATTTCGTGAACAAAGCAGCATTTAGAGAGAATATTCACAGCTTTTTCCACCAGCCGCCCTCTGTTTTAACAGTCAAAACTACACTGTTGGACCACGCACTACGGATTATTCTACAATATTTTATGTACAATAGTCACAAGCAGAGTAAGAACTCTGATCAGAAATTGGAGACGACCAAGTCAAATTGAATGTTCCACCAGCTCCGAGGCACATTATGTACAATACATACGTGAACATATACCGACGCAGTCAACACAGTGCCACTGTTGTCCAACACAAACTCCACCGACTCTCCACTTTGCGAGATCCCCTCTCTCGCTCTTCCCTATGCACATGGCTTCTGCAATTAATGAACACCTCTATTTTCAGAGAGTCATATGTTCTCCCATTTTAAGTATTGTATATGCCCATTATATATTCTTAAAGAGTCGCGCATCAAGAAAAAAAAGAATCCGACACCCGTCATCGTCCCAGGCAAATACCACACCAAACACAACCAGCTTTTCCTCCTTTGGCACTCGACAGAGATGCTATATGGGATACAAATGGGATCACAAGTGAGATGGAGAGACACATTTCACGCATTTCAATTCAACACACACCCACAGATTTTCCCTTATTCTCTCTTTCCCTCTCTCTCTCTCTCTATACATTGCACACACATTTCCCATCTCACTCTAACCCTCTGTATGTACAATGTATACATCATAACAAAGTAAATAATGTTCCCACATAATGTGTAATGTGTGTTGTGTATAAATGGAAATAACATCTCAGAAAGTACACACAACATATTCCGGGAGATATTCCTACCTTGTCATACCCAATTCGCACTCTCTCACTCACACCCCGGCTCCACATTTTCACATTCAATTGCAACATGGTATGACGAGAGAGGAGAGCCAGAAAAGGACAACCGGCATATGAAAAATAGATTCAACCATACCGGTAGTAGTAAGTATCCACTATGTAGCAGAATGATTTAGCCAAGTGCTGCAGAGAATATTCTATGTGGAAACCGAGTGCTTCTCTACCTAGCAATTCATCCATGCGCTTAGAGAGATATATGCATATTATGTACAAACATGAGCGCAATTCAACGCACACATCACCCATATTCAACTTATGTACACACATAAATCCAGAAATTTCCTAATCATGCTTGAGTATCCATGAGAAAATTCAAACCCGGAAAAATCCACCTTTCTGCGACAAATCCAGAAATAAAATCTTTGCTATCTCACGTCCACAGACTCTCTCTTGGGGTTATAACCAAATGCAGGAACAAAAGACAACAAGAAAGACTGTGGCAAAAGAATTCAACGTGAAAATATAGTGGAAAAGTTGAAGTCTTGTGTTATATATCATATGCCATGACAGAAACAAGAGAAGTGCTCAGAAAAAAAACACACAATCGAGAATTTTCTCCTCCCCCCTTCCAACCCGGATTGCATTCAATATAAAATGGTACATAGGCAGCAAGACAGAAATATATTCTATCCAGAGAGTAATTCTCAAACTGTGCATTACACCATACAGTCAATGCAAATGAACCACTCTTCATCTCAAAACAAACACCATCTTCACTCCTCTCTATATGTTGGAGACTTTTCAGTTTTCTCTCCTTCTCTATACACACTATACACACAGTGTATACTAATATGATCTTTCACCTCAAGCCTACCTAAAAATAAAATCCTAAACAAAATTAAATGCAAGAGACGTCAGTACACACCACAAAATACCTCCTTTCCAGACAACACAGACAGAATATTCTAGTGCAAGCCAGCAACAATATTCACTTCACACAGGCACTGCTCACGGTGTTCGAGTCTGGAGAGAAGAGGGGTGTGTTCAGCCGGGAAATTTACATCAACCACAATTATTTCTCTTTCGTACTTCACCACATGAAAATTCTTTCGTCATGTTCCCTTCCTTCTAAATTCTATAACATTTTGTGCTCCCAATCAACGAATCTGGTAACAGTCTAAAGTTTCACTTAAGTCCTTGCAGGGAAATAAACTATTTTACCTCTTCATATGTTATTATCTAGTTTAAACTATGTTAAAATACCTATTTTGTACGATAAACCTCAATACAAACACCCCAATTTGTATGGGAATTTTCAAATCCTCCAATGCGGATCAATAGTTTGAAAAGGGGGCTAGAATATTTTGAATAGGTACACTGTAATTATACCCCCTATCTATATTTACTGTTTCATTCAATTCCACGCCGCTCTAGAGCACTTTCGAGTTGTTTAGATTACAAGAGGAGATTCGAAAGTTACTAAATTCGAATCATTCACTAAAACACACCAAATTACACTCTATGCGCGCACATCATGCAAAATCCACCCCTTAAATGAGAAGTAAATGTATTGCGTGTTAGAAATTTAATTCCATATTGAAATGACATAGAAAAGAGATCATGTGAGAATTCAATATTTCTAGTATTTCCCCATCCCATTTTGTCTCTTTATAAGAGAAACACACTGTAGTTCTAGGTCAAATTCTTCTCATCGTAAATAACCTTTGTTTTCCATCCCACGCAGAAACTTGAGAAAACAAGAAAACTTTCAGGTACAAAATCCTAAAACAACAGTGTTGATCTAGGATGAATCTTTATGAAAACTTACAGCATTTCACGTATTCATTTCATTATTTATTAACTCCTACATACACATAAGAGCAATACGATACCCAGTTCTATCGCACATCAATATCACTGTCTATTTACTCCACATATGAGTTTGTTTCGTTATCAAATTATCATTTGTACATAATGTGGGTGGGAAAAAATACCATGATTCAAAATATATAGTGCTTTGTCATAAAAATAGTGCTAAGCACCATCAAGTATCACTCTTCTACGCTCTTTTTATGCTCTCGCCCCTCTCTCACACAGCACACATATGGGGTGAAATCGCTAAAGACACAACTCAATGATTTTCCTATATCGCCAAGATGAACCCACTCATTTTCGGACAAAACACTCTCTCGCATCGGACCCAAGAAAGAATAGAATGTTTACAAGCTCAAGATATTTTCTCCGTGTGGGGATTTTATGGGAAAAATAGGTATTTTTTTCCTCTCAAACTTTCTTCACGTTCAAAATATTGAACGCTACCAACCCCCTTTGGACTTCTTGTCGCATATTTACTTATTTACGACGCCACATATTTTCACTCTTTTTCTACACACTCCTTTTCTCTTCTCTCTGCTCGTTTTCTCACTCACACATTTTTTTTTCTCTCGATTAGATATACGTATATGTACGTATATACATATATTAGGATCTTCTTCGCTTCGTCTCCTAAAGCCAAGCAACTTTTTGTGTCATGTCTTTGAACGCAAGGAAATATTTAAGATAGCTAATATGCCCCATAGAATTTTGTACCCCATGTATAGCTTCAAGTGTTGTTATATTCATATGATTATAGGGCTTCACTTCAACATACACTTTTCCACTTCTCACCCCACACAGCCCCTGCTAGAAATGAATAACCGTACCCGGGCAAGTCAATGACGTGTGCAGAAGATGAAAAAGAAACCGTAGGGTACAAAGTGAAAATCCCACAAGGACACGCAATATCATCTGCAAACACGATTATAAAATTCTCAACAATTTATATGGCAAGAAGCAAAAATTATGCAAAAAAAACACACACACACATTCTCTTCAATTTTATCTCTCCATCTCACGATTTCATCTAGCCACGCAGTGCGGGAAGAGAGGCCATCTTCCAAGGCGAACAACACCCCTTAACAGAGAGTAAGCCAGAGACAGAGTTAATCATTTCTTCTCCTCCAACTTAGCAGCACGTGAATTTCTTAGGAAATCCCCCCTCAACTCATCCGTAATTATTAATGCCATTAAAGCTTTTATTGATGCCCACCACAACCATCGCCGTGTCTCTTCCATGGAGACCATGGCTAAGGACACCGTCGTTAGTGGCTGGAAAACACGCAATCAACAGCCATCGTAATGATGTTCAAGTACAGAATAATGTCTCTGTCAAGAAAGCAAGTGTTGCGAGTCAGACAAACTTTCCTCTCTGATCACTAGCCGGTATTGTTGTGATTTCTGACCAAAAAAACATACTCCTGAGTGTGCAAATATAACACACCAGGGATTGAAACTACACAAATTCTCCGCCACCCACTCATGCACATTATTTCCCTACACTTGATAATTTAATCTGCACCCTGAGACCGAATTAAAATATCATTGGATTGGGGTGTTGAGGAAATGGAATTCTAAATGCTGGAGTAACTTCACTTTAATAGCTTCTTCTCTGTCTGTTTTAGTGACATTATTCTTGCAAATTCTTTCAACTAAATTCTCCGTTTATAATCACAACACACTTGTCATGTCCATTTGAATTCTATTAAAAACTTTTCAAATTCACTTATATTGTGTGTACGTCATGACCGGGAAAAACGATGAAATAGAGTACTTTGAAAAATATTCATATCT